CGTAAGCCATCTGCGTGCTGAGCTGTCTTCGGCATTGCACTTCTTCCCTCATCAACAAACTTGATATCTATTATATAAATCTACCAAGACCTGTATGATTATCAGGAAATACATGTAACAAATGTTCAACATTTTCTCCCGTGTTTACAGAGAATATGATTGGATTTTCTTCAGAACTGGCGGCTACGGTGCTAGCGACGCGCGCAACTACTACTCGTCAAACGCTAGTCCAAGTTATTCGAAGAAACTTGATGAGGTGATTAAATGACATCGAAACGATAAGGGTGTGATTATTTTCATAAGCGGAAAAAAAATTTAGAGATTTTCTGGCTTACGTGAAACCGAACTGTAGCAGGTTGGCCAGTGTTGTAGTGTCGTTAAAGGAGTTATGGCTATTGTGTTGTCGATTAAGAAAAACTCTACGAGTTAATTGAATGCTGTAATGAATTTTTCAGAATCAATCATGGGCAAGTGAACCGCGACGTTTTGAGGTGTATAAAACTAGGGCAGAAAGAGAAGTGGAGAGGAATACACATACACCGTAAATTTTGAACTTCCTATTGTTTTAGTTTTTGCAAAAAAAATGCCGCCTAGAAGAGCTACTGGTTCCAGGAGCGGAGCTTCATCCTATCGCCCAGCATCAAACTACAGCGATCGCCCATTGAACAATTATGCCGTAAGAAAGGTAAAGGAACCTGAACAAGTTTGCCGTGTTACCTATTTAAACCTTGAACCCTCAAAAGCACGGGGCAAGTACCTTCCTTACTTATGCAACTTTTACTATGTGAGATACGTAACGACTTATTCTAGCCTTAGAAAATTTTTGGCAGAACGCGACAATGGCCCAAAAGATGACTACGCACAATGTTTTCAGCTTAGTCTGTTTGTTTTGCAGTGACCAACGTTGGTCGTTAGGAGAAAAAGCACATTTCTTTACTTCATGATATGTATGCTCTTTCTGAGGTTATAGTAGATTAGGAGCGGAGAAAAACCTCAATCCTTTCAATTTATGGTCAAAATCAACTTTTTAGAAATTTGCCTTTAATAAGAAACAAACACATTTTGAAAATGCACTTAGAAAAAACTTGAAAAAAAAACAAGGGACTTCGAGAATTTATCGAGAAATGGTCATGGAAGAATTTTACTACAAGAAGAAGTACAGCAAGTAGAGTGGTTTTTCAGTAGGAAAACGAAGAAAATTACTTTTTGTTTCTACACGCGATAAGTAATGGTGTAACTGATTGAATAGTTAAAGCATTGGAATACTAGAGAGAAGTAGATTCCCGAATGAAAAAATACAATTATCAAAATGAGTGTGTGCATCTTCTTCAAAGAATTCGTATCTAATCAAATCACGATGAGCTTTAAAAGTCGTTTGCAATCACAAGGATACAGTCTGCACTCTCATTCTACCCTACAAATGTGACTCCTGACTCTCTGCGTTTTGTAA